TTATATCTAGTATATAATTACTTTTCTTTCTTACTTATTTAGCTCTAATCTAATTAGATAATTTTTATATCTATTATTTAAATTATATTAGTAAAACTACTTCCTAAAATACTAGAAGTTTATCTTAATTAAATAATTAATTAATTAAATATTTACTAGAATAAATTAATAGATCTTAGAAATAAGATTCTAGAAAGAGGATATAGTTATAATATATATAGAATTATATATAACTTAAAGGCATATAATAAACCTCGAATATTACAGGTATTAATTAGAGAAATCGGCGGCCCTTTAATATTATAATTAATTACTATTTATATTATATATATTAGACTTATAAATTACTAATTATATATATACTATTAGGGCCTTCTATTTAGAAAGGGCTTCTCTAAACCTTATAGAAGAAATAGAAATTAGTTCTATACTAAATTTAATATTATAGTTTTATTACTTACTAATAAATACCTTATATATAAGCTAGTAATATCCGAATATTAATACTATTGCCTTTAAATTAAATAATTCTATTAGTATTAAATATTTAAATTAATATCTTTAATTCCATAAATATTTTATTTATTATATAAATTATAATTACTAGTTTTATAGATTTTCTAGTCTATTTAACTATATTTAATATAATAGTATTTCTTATTTATAAGATAATAAAATAGAAAGTATTATTCTTAATTTATTAGTTTTAAAATATAATAACCGGATCTAGTATTTTTAAGATATTAATAAATATTCTTATTTTCTTTTAAATCTTTAGAAATAAAATAGTTATTTTCTTAAATAGTTTTATTAAAATATTATTAATTTTAGAAATCCTATACTTATTATAATTAAGGATATACTAGATTTCTAATTTGTTTTATTTATTTCTAAAAGCATTAATATTTATATCTTTAGCTAAATTATTTCCTTATTTATTATTTCTTAAAATAGTATTTTTCTGGCCTTTTATATAAAATAGCTTTTCTTTAGCTTTAGTTTGTTTTTAGAAAATCTCTTTAGCTATTTCTATTTCTTTTCTCTTTCTTTTTAATAAAAACCCTATTATAATATTAATAAAAATCCTATTTATAGCCAAATTTTAATACTATTTACTAATTCCAGAATCTAAAATATTAGTAATTCTAATATAATTTCCTTTAAAGCAAAGCGGTTATTTAGATTTCCTAGATATAGTTTATTTGCTTTTATATATAAATTCCGATTAGCTAGTTCTCTTATTTCTTTTTTATCTAATAAATTAGATATCTTCTATTTCTTTCTTATCTAATAAACTAGATATCTTCTATTATTTTCTAGATATTTCTAGATTATACTTTTAAGTTATAATTAAATTTTTCTTTTCGGACTTAGAAAATAATTTAATTAAACTACCGGTATTTACTAGTAAAAAAAAAGGAAATACTTTTTTATTTAGGCTTAAATAAGCTTTTATACTATCTTCTATTAAACTAGTAAATATATCTATAATTTATAAGATCTTCTATTAATAAATAATAAAACTAAGAAATATAAATATATTTTGAATTAATATTATTATTATTATTTCTATTATAGTATCTATAACAAATTTATTCTTTTAGTTCTGGATCTATATTATAGGCTATATTAATTTAAATAGTATTCTCTAATTATATTTAAAACTAAACTTTTTCTAGAATATAATTATCTAAATTCTTTATTTATTTTAGCTTATTTATTATAGCTATTATAGTATTCTTTATAACTTTTATTATAACTTTTAGTATATTTTCCTTAAAGATTTAAATTATATTTACTAGATTATTAATACTATTATTTCTATTATAATTAGCTAGTTTATATAAATAGGCTATAGATATTTTCTCGAATTATAATAGTAGCTATATTGAGTTATTTTTATAAGTTCTCTTAAGTTATAATAGTAATAGATAGTTTTTTCGGATTCTTTACTAACTAATTAATATTATTTCTTTTGGATTTATTACTTTTAATAGGCTTTATATAATTAGTTATAAATTAGATTCTCTTTTTACTTATATTTATAATAGCTTTAGAAAGTATAATAAAAGAGACTAGTAAAATATAATTATTTTCTGGTTTAGAAATTATATTATAAACTATTATATTTAAGTATTCTTATCTAAATCTAGATATATTTGAATTATTAGTAATATTAAAATAAAATAAAAAAAATTTATATTAATAAAATATTATTATCTTTTTATATATCTTATTATATTTATAAATAGAAATATTTATAGGCTTAAAATTCATATCCTTAAGAATATAATCTTTTATTAGAATAAATAATTCCCTTATAAATTCTCGGTATTAACTAATTTTATCTATTTTTTTTCTTTTTAGTAATTTCTTTAATATTTTATTAAATATATTAATATAAGACTTAGAAGAGATTTCTTTATTCTAGACTTATATAATAATCTAATTAAGAAAGTTATAGCTAATTTTAAGTATTTTCTAGTTATATTCTCGAAATTTCTTTAATAAAGCTTTAAAGAACTTGGTTTTCTAGTAACTTTCTAGATTATTAGTATAATACTTTAGTATAGCCTTAATCTAATTCTTATAAATAGAAGAAATATAATAGATAATTCTTTCTTTTTTAATATTATTAGAAATATAATAGTTTTTATATATATCTATATATTATTTCAAGAATATAGAAATATTACTTCCCTAAAACTATAGTATTCTAGAAGTTTCTATAAGTAATAGATTTAAATCCGGTACTAGTATATATTTATTTTTAGTTATATTAATCTTAATAATTTCTTTTATAATTAATTATAGAGTTTCTATATCTAAAACTTCTATTAATAAGATTCCTAAAAAAACTAACTTTTTATTTAAGTATATTTTTTAGTTTAGAAACCGGAATTTAAAAGAAACTAGTTAATAATAATAGATATAATCTAGATTTAAGTTCTAATACTAGTAATAATAAAATAATAACTTTTCTAGTTTTATTTCTATTACTTATATTTTCTTTTCTATTCTATTAGCTTAATATCTATAGTATTTTTTCTTAATTTTACTAAACTAGATATATTTAATAGTATTATTAATAATAATAATAATAATAATAAATATAATTTCGCTAATTTCTCTAAATTTTCTAAATTTTCTTTTTTATTTCTATTTAGTATCTTTTTCTTTTCTAGAAGTTTCTTTAGATTATTTATATAATTTCTTATTTCCGATTTCTTTTTAATTCTTATTTCCGGTTTCTATTTATTATTTTATTTAAAATTAAGAGTATTTCCCTTTTTAGATATTTTTTCCGGACTTAAAAACAAGCTTTATTACTAAAACTAAAGCTATTTTTATTTCGGTTATTATTATAACTAAAAATAATATATAAATTAATAGTATAATTTTATTTCTATATATTAAAGTCTATTTCTAACTAAGATCTAATTCGTACTATTTTAGTATAATATTTTCTATTTTTACTATTTCTATATATTATACTAGTAATTATATCTTATAGCTAACCTATATTCAAATTACTAAATATATTAGAAATTAATATAAAATACTAAAATTAATATTTATATATTCTTAATATTTTAGCTTTAGGCTTAATATATTATAATAGCCCTTTTTTCTCTAAACTTACTAAGCTAATAATCCGCCTTATAGAAATCTCTTAGAATTTTATAAAAGTATTACCTTAACTATAAAGTTTTAATTTTCCTATATTACTTATTATAAAATATATAAAAGAGAAACTATAATAAAATAAAAACTTATATAAAATATATTAAAGTATAAAATATAACTTAATAGTAAAATAATAAGATTAAAGATATAAATAGTAAAATATAAATAATAAAATATAAATAGTAAAATATAAATAGTATATAATATATAAAAGCTTAATTAATTAAATATAAAAGAGAGATTATTATCTAGAACTATATAAAAGCCAGCTTTCTTATATAATTTCCGCAAGTTATATATAAAAGACTCTAGCCTTTATTATATAACTAAAATATTAAAACTATTAAAACAAAGCAATTTTAATAAAGTACGGCTTGCTATACTATAATAATTATTGCAATTACGAAAGTTTTAGAATAATCTCTAATAATCTTAAATCTTAAGTCTTATTTTTTTAGTAACTTCTTTCTATAATTATAAGATATTATAGTCTAATATTTATTTCTCTTCTAAGACGAAAGTAATTAATTAATTAATTACTTTATTATAGCTTTCTTACTAAGAAAAAATTTATAATTGAAATTATACGAGAAGTGTAATATTTATATAATAATTAAAATTTTATACTTTAAGAAGTGCTATAAAGGTAGTTAAAAGCCAGTATTCAAAAGCCAGCATTTTTAGAGCCACTTACTATAGGTGGTTCTGAAAAAACTACGATTTGTATGGGAGTAAATGCTAGTAATTAAATCCTAGTATTTGGTTGCTAGCATATAAAAAAATGCGAAACACTTATTTTCGTAATAACTAAAAGCTAGTGTTTGATTACTGACAAATGCTGGTGTTTGAAGTTTACGAAACGGGCCCTGACTTCCTCATCCATCCTATCATTCCCCCTTTCTTGTTCAAACTCCCATTCGCCTCCAATACCCCGTCTATCCTACAAGTATTAAATGAGTATTAACATACAACCCCACCGTATCACTAGAACCGGTTGGATTCCTTCACAGGGAAATGGAGTATTGAATATTCACATCGAGATTTCCTGAGACAAGATCCACAGACAAAGTATCCATGTATACAATTCCAATAGGTGAACTCTCCACCCGCTGTGCCAAATGGGGATTAATGCACAGACAAGAAAAGGCCCAAACAGGAAGGAGCTAGCTAAAGTTCCCACCCCGGCACCCTAAAGCGAGTGCCGAACTCGCGGGGTTCTTACCCCGAAATCCCACATCCAACTTCATCCCTTCCCCGACATCCCTTCCCCGACATCCCTTCTTGACATTTTTTTGTCTCACAACACAGCAGCAATGCCTGATCCACAACTACTCTCAGCTATAGGTTTCGGGGTCAATATCGAAAATAACCCCGAACTATTGACCCCGACTTCAACCACGATAGCAGCACCAATCCGCAAACGCCGCAACGGCCTCACGCCCGCCTGCGAACCCTGCCGCAAGGCCAAGGTGCGATGTGATACTGACGCCCCCGGGTCGTTGTGTGGGAGATGCAGGAAAAGGAAGACGCCGGAGAAGTGTATTTTTCTAGGTGCGCCAATGCCCAGGCGGTTTCACGAATTCTCCAATGATGCAGCTGGTTCCTTGTCGACACCAAAGTCACCCACCCGAACGGCGCAGGGGCCGACGGGACAGGCTTCATCAAGCTCTGTTATCAGTCCGGGTTCTGGGGCCAGCCCTGGGCTGAGCAGGAAGGTAGCCGGCCCGTCGGGGTTCCTCGGGTCAACGAGTTTTTCCGCTACGATTCATGACCATGAAGCTGATACTTCCGACAATGAATTCGAGGAGATGGATGCTGTTCCTAATATAGATCTAGTCCAGATTGCGATGGGACTCAATGTTCTAAAGGTTTTGCCCGGACATGAGGACTGCCAGAGCTTAGTCAAACGCTACCTTGATGGTCCAGGCGAAGTTGGCTTTCTGAAGGCAAGTATACAGAAGGTTCTTGACTCACTATTTGCTACCTCTCCGTATCGCGAGTACCTGAAAGAACCGAGAGAGGATCATTATTTGGAGAATTTGTCTGAAGATATATGCAGGCGCAGTGTCGATGGGCTGGTCCTGCCTGATGATGCAGTGGGCTGGATGGCAGCTTTCTCTGGACGGAACACCAGATGGGAATCCATGGGCATCCTCCACACTGCCGTTGCCCATGGTGTCTTAGCAGTGCCCGACAGGGAATATTGGTTTCTTAGACTTTCGAAGGTTTATCCGGAGAAGAAAAGGGCTGTTTTGGCCATCAAGGAAGCGATCGAAGGGTGCCTGGAGCTTTGCAAGCATTCTCTCAATACTTTGGTGTGCAATTTATTGTATAAGAACTTCTTACTAGAGACAGTGCTGCATGGAAACTCGAGTAAGTGGTTCCTGAACTTACATAATCGATGCATTAGCTGATGTACTACAGGTTTATCAGTCTGGAGATTGCATCACGATCTCATTGCTGTCGCATCTGCCATCGGTTTGCATTGCTACAACCCCAATAATCCGCGACGGGAACCAGGTGCACTTACTGAGTACTGGCACTTGATTAGTCCCAAAGATCCTCGCGTCCCCGAAGTTACTCTCCGGACCGAAATGAGAAAGCGGCTGAGTGCGAGCTGTTTCTGGAGCGATAAGGAGCTTGCGATGTTCACGGGTAGACCGCCAGCCTGGAGTCATCGATATCATTCTTGCCCTTTGCCGCTTGATCTAAGCGATGAGGTGTTGACGGAAGGGGGCGAGAGACTGAGATGTGAAATCAGGGAGCTTGATGAGAATGGATGGAATAGGAAGTGGGATGTGCACGACGCTACGATCTGTCGCACTATGGTCCTCACGGCAATTATTATTGATGAGATCATGGAAGTGTTCATTGGAAATGCCAACCAGTGGTCGGTGGAACGTGTCAGGTATGTTCTCATTATGCAATAATTATCATTTGCTCATCTTCTTTCCGGAAACTTGAAACTTAAAGCACAAGAAACGTACTCCCATATTCCTCAAATCATGCAAATCACAAAAGAGAGCCTGAAGCTTTGCAGCGAGGATGTGAAGATGTGGAAACTGATGTTTATGCGACTCGACTACCTTCGAATGAACTTTCTTCTCGAGAGACTCTCTGCTGAGAGAGGTGGAGAAGGCAGGCAAAAGCTGGTTGATGTTGCTCGAGAGATCTTGGACATGGTTGTGTTCTTATGGCTTGAGCGAGACCGTTCCGGACGTCGTTACTACGATTATGATTACATTATAAGTTGACAATCATCTAGCTCCATGAGTTTGCAGAAGCGCTTGGAAAGAGATTTGTAGCTGATAAATGGTGACAGATTATGTGCTACGGCATGCCATCCACTGGGATCCTCTGCACGGAACTTCTCAAACAAACGAAGCAGCCAAACGACGTGGACGTCCGGATGCCAGTCTCGGAAGTGGTGCAGAACTTGAGCCTCGTGATTGGATTTCTGGACTGGACACGACCCATAGCTGGCAACTGCAAGCTCTGCCGTCGGATGTCCCAAGTCATCAAGCGAGTCCTCGACCAAGTCTTCACTCCGGGTGAGAAGGGGAGCACACTAGACAGCAAGGTTCCTCTGACTCAAGACACGTTGACAGATTTTCTTTCATTCAATGGCTGGACGATTTTGAATGATTGAGCAGCATTGATTGGGGCCGGGGTCCATATGTTGACATGATTCACCTGAACTGAGGAAAGCGAAGCGAGGTCGTCGCCGACTCAGGACAACAAAGGGGCTAACACCACCAAGATAAAGCGGCACGGATTTCTGCTCCCAAATCGCATGCTTCAGAGAAATGATATCAGCGAGAAGGGAAATGACGCTAAGGAATCCCGCCCGAAGAGGGCACGAAGACAAAAGCCCGTCTCGCATCTTTTCCAGGATTTCCTCCTTCAACACCATCCACCTTCACGACAAAGAAACCTGCATCAACAACAAGACAGAACAAGATGTCTGACTCCAGCAGCATTAAGATGAAGGAAATCCCTGAGAATGAACTCCTTGGGTACGTCCATGACCTGTCCTATTGCCCTTTATGCTCTCCCCACGGCGTGCACGCTTGAAGACGATCCCCTGACAATTGATGTTGTAGCAACGAGGTGCCCATGAGATACACATGCACTCTTCTCTTCTTCGCATTCACGACTACGGCCTTGATTGCGACCGTCTGCTTGACCACTTTCCTCGTCGTTTTGGCGGCCCAGCACTCCTCCCTCGTAACCAATCTCGTTGGACAAAATGCTACAACCCACCATGGCCTCCCGTCCATCACCTTCCCACGCCTTCACCGCAACCCGACTGAGGTCATCGCTCCTCGATCAGACACGGCCTTGTCTCTCTCGGACACAGCTCTCATTGACACAATCTTGAATGACCTCAATACCACCGCTTCTCGTATTCACTCCGCCTCCAAGGACCTGAACGCTACCGCCTCGCTCTCCCCTCGCGGTTTCCCACCCACCGTTGCCGACTGCACTCCAAACGGCCCCGTCTGCCGTCTCAGTGTCCTCACTTGGGATAGTCCCGGCCACAATACCGCTGTCCTCGGCATCTTCGACTACTACTGCAACTTAATCGGCTACTACGATCATGCTCCTTACGGCCAAATCGTCGACTTCTACTCTCAGCTCCCGTACACGGTCGTCACTCGGGTCAATGGTGTGAACGATGTCGTTTTCAAATACGATGGAGTTCAGTTTGGCACTGGTTGGTCTGAGGCAATTTGTTGGGAGGATCCTGCTCCGCAGTTCGGTAAGTCCAATCCCTCCTGTAGCAATGCCCAACCGCTCTTGGGACAATCAGCTGACTCCGTTAACAGGTTTCCCGGCCTACTGTGTCGTCCCTTTCTGGTGCCCACCCAAGTGATGGTACGTTGACGGCATTGTGGACTCTGTTTCGGATGGTGGGATGCGGATCGAGTTCCTTTGCAGCATGCTGCCGGTGGAGATTCATACATGGTAGATTTCGATAGGTGGCAGATTGAGCCTGGCTCTCTGATACTTTAGCGTTGATTCCGTTCGGGGTAGACAAATGGCATAAATTGCAGCGGCATCCAACTTTTCTCGCATGACTGTGACAATAGTGATCCTTCTTGACTGAAATTTTGAATGGTTCGTGATCGGCCGATGATCCGGTGGAAGCAGGGATATCGCAGAATCCTCAATCGTGAATGGTCTACAGGTCGAGGGACGTTCAATGTTTCCAGGCTGCAGCATTCCAAGCAGCTCCAACGGCTCGATCTTCAATATTTCAAGGCAATTTTAGGAGGTTGCCGAGTTCTAAATTTGCAGTCTTCCAGGATAGTGTGGCATGTTGTGAAAGATATTGACGGCTTCATGTATTGCTGCAATGCTGAAAAGGGTATCTATCACAAACACAACCTCATTTGTCTCCTTCCCCGGTGCGCGACGCAAACTGTGCTGCATTTTCTGCCCGTATGCTCTCTCTCTGACCCATAACATCATCTCTCCCTTACAGCTGCCTTCCCCATCAGTCCATCCAAGCCTTCATGTCCTTCGCATGCAGCCATGCTTACCCTAACCACCCAAGGTCCCCTTGACACACTTCTCGCAGACGCGGTGTCCGCACTTCTTGCACTCCTTATGCAACCTATGATTTTCGGTCTCGCACTATTGTCTGTCAGCCCCCACCCCTTTCTCACCCGTTCGCTTCCTCTCCCCTCCCCCACCGAACCCCCTCATAACGAGAGCAGCGAGGCCGAAAAGGAATATGGAAAAGAATACATACCTCCGCACCGTTTACCAAACCACAACAGTACCACTGCGTCCACGGCATCTCGCCCTTCTTCACGTGATCGAGGACGAATTTGCCATACTTCATCGCTGAATCCTTTGCTCCCGCAAACGACGTCGGCATTGCTCCCTTAGCCTGCTGCAAAAGTGAACCAATGGGCTTTGGGGGACCCCGTGGATCGGCTGTGGGAACGGGTTTCCGTGGCATGTGGTCGGAAGCTGAGGTTGAGGGCTGCGTTGGAGAGCGTGGGGGAAAAGGTGAAGAGGTTGAGGCTTGCGTGGCAGTTCGCGGTGGAAGCAGTGGTTTGATTGCAGCAGCGCTTTGCTCGGCTTCAACGGATTCGTCTTCGACGGTTGGTCGAGGAGGGTGTTGTGCCAGGGCCGAGGTTGCGGTCTCAGTATACTTTGGTGGTGGAGACGTTGGGGTTGGTTTTGATTCGTCGGCCATCTTTTCTGTCTCCTTGGTTCGGCTTTGTGAAGATGCGCAAGGTGGGCTGGGCGTGAATGAATGTTGAAACGTTTCTTGGTAGAGAGATCGCCTCGTGGTGTTGACTGATTGAATGGAGAGCGTGATGTGACGTTGTTGTGCCTCGTTTGCTTTTATAAAGTTTTTCGCGGGGCGGAGTCAATCAACGTGGCGTGGTGGCAGCGGGAGTGACGAATCAGGGGCTGTGCATTAGCGAGGTACCCCTTTTCCCCTTGTTGACATCCGGAATCTAAAGATCACGATTATATCTTCATCGTGTAATAGATTTAATGTGTATCCTGCTTCATAAGACTGTCGGTGGCCAGATGCTAGTGAGTGGTGCAGTAGCAGGCGCAAGGATAAGGTTCGGCTTCATACAGCCGAAATTTCCGAAAACAGGAGTGGAGTTTGTTCTAGCGGCAGATATTGCATCCCATAACATTGCATTTGAGCCCTGCCATAATGGCTCCTTTCGTGCCTTTTATTAGAGTCATGTTGCCTTTTATCTCTACTTCATCCCCTCTAACGAGAATGTTAAGTTGTTCAGTATAAATCGCTCGGCTTCAAACTCGGCTCACTTAGGCAACTGCAATAGGACACGTCCACAATGCCAGTTACTCGCTATGGAATCTGTGACGCAGACCCCAGCCATCTTTGGCAACCTCTTGACTTTGCATTTTCTAAGAGAACAGCCAAGAACCGGATCCTGAAAGCAGCAATGGAAGAGCGACTCTCAACGTGGGATGATAAAATCCTAGAAAACCGAGGCGTTCCAACAAAGGAACTCATCACTTTATATCAACGGTATATTCAAGCCTCTTCCCCTACCTTTCTACACTCAGTGGCGGTCCTTTATTGATTATTCTATTTCTTGCTATAGTTGGGGAGAGCACAAAAACAACTGGGGCATCATAGTAACAGGCAATATAACCATCTCCTACACGCACATCGCTGCCTCCGGAGACGCCATCATTACTCCATCATCGCCACTCCACGGAACGCGTTTTGAAGGATTCAAATCCCTCGCTACAGCTGCAAAAGTGAACGGAAGTCTAATAATCGGACAAGTGAACCATCCCGGTCGACAGGTGAGAGAGAAATATAGTGGGGAAGCGATTTCTTCCTCCGCTGTACCATTAGGTACGTCTCTTTCCATTAACGCATCAACCCAGAAGGATGTTTCGCGGATTGATGGGACCACAGGCCCTCTATTCGAGAACTGGACATTCGGCACTCCTCACGCTGCAACACAAGAAGAAATAACAAACATCTTGGAAGGTTTCGCCCACGCAGCAGACTATCTGGAGAAAGCTGGGTTCGACGGTATCAATCTACACGCTGCACACGGCTACCTGCTCGCACAATTCCTCTCTCCAAGAACCAATAAACGAACTGATGCTTACGGTGGCTCATTGGTAAACCGCATGCGTTTGATCATGGAAATCTGCCAAGGGATTCGCCGCCGCGTGCAACCGGACTTCATACTGAGCATCAAGTTAAACTCTACAGATTTTCAAGAAGATGGCTTCAAGCTGGCCGAAGCGCGGGAGCTCGTACGAGTTCTACAAGATGATATAGGGTTAGATTTCGTGGAGTTAAGTGGAGGAACGTATGAGCATCTTGGTTTGCAATGGACAAAAGATAGCACGCGGGAAAGGGAGGCATTTTTCCTTGAGTTCGCGGAGATGATCGTTCCTGTACTTGGGAAGGAAGAGGAGAGGAAGACGAAGGTACTTATTACGGGGGGGCTGAGGAGTGTGGGTGCGATGGTTAAGGCGTTGAGAGTTGTGGATGGTGTTGGGTTGGGGAGACCGGCGACTCAGGAACCTGATCTTGCAAGGGATATTCTCCAATGGAAGGTAAGCGGGGCTGTGAAGCCGAAAGAGCCATTTGATAATAGAAGTGGGCTAGGGATGTTGGCAGCGGGGATGCAGATTAGGATGCTAGCGGAGGGGAGGGAGCCATTTGATTTGAGTGATAGAGAGGATGTTGAAGTGCTTTGGGAGGTTATAAATGGTTTGAAAGAGGGAAGCGAAAAGGAAGAAGAGAAAGAGGTGGTGGGATTCCCGGAATGGAAGAGAAGGCCCAAGGCTTTGGAGACTGTGGAGTCTTAATGTTGGCCGTGTTGAAGGAACAGTACAAGGGAAAAGTTTACAAACGAATTACTAGACGGGAACTTGCCACCTGACCCGCGTTCAACTTCGCCATGGCTGAGACAGGAATCGCGTTGAACACCTGACCCAACAAAATTCGCAGCGCAGAATTTATAATGACTTGACCAGGAGACGGATCGTATGTTACAACCCGCAGCTCACAACCCAATTAACTCCATTCCACTAAATCCCTCAAGATTTCTTCTTTTAAGCTTGTCGTGCAGCCCGACTGCCGCTGAAATTTTCCCAACCTAGAGCAGCCAATGTCGAAAACACACAAACAGCCTCAAACTCCGCAACTTGCAGCCACGGCCCTCCATGTCCCAGGAAGATAGGTATCGCAATAACGCGTCCAAGTATCATCCAACATATCGCGATTTTGTCTCCACGAAAAGCTGCATTGAGGTAGAAGGTCCTAGTGAAGGATTCAGTTCGGGAAACATGTGGTGAGGATGAGCAATGAGAAGAGGGCTCAGTAACCCACCCGATTGTTAGAGAGCCAAGAGCTATAGCATGCAATGCAGGTAGTGAAGTCATGTGTAGGGTGGCCATATCTTTCTCTGCTATGGACGGAATGAGCAGATATCTGGCACCGTTGAGAATGCCGAGGAGGCCTTGGATGGCGACTATGATTGATGGGAGGGGTAGCATGGCTGTTGTGTTTGCTGTCCTGGCTAGGGAAGAGATTGGGAATGAGGGAGGTGGATAATAGAGCAGGAAGTTGGAGGTACGATGTGGGTTGATTACTGATCAGTGGAAGGCAGCCCGAAATTCTCCGGTGCGGGAATGAGCCGAGCTGCAGTTCATTGGGAATTTAAGAGCCTTGCTCTCCTAATTCGGGTTGCTCATAGAACAGACAGTATCTGAAGTATTGAATATGCATCCATTCTCCGCGAGACCATCTAGTCTGGGTATCATGACTCCGAACACCAAATCAACTTGCATCTGCTACCTCAACTCCGGCTCTCCCATCCAATCCGGTTCCACGACCCAACCCCTCTCCAGCCCGTTACTGTCGGCCCTTACAACGACAGCTTTCCTCTTCTCCATCTCTTCACGGCCCAGATCCAAATCGCCAAGCATACCCCTCACCCTCTCGTCCCTTGCATAAACCTTCAAACCCCTGACATGTGTATCTTTTCCATTTTGATGATTCTCTACAACTCTGACCTGGACAAGGAATGCCCTGAGTGTTTTGCCATCCTCACCGCCTCCTACATGGTCGAGCGGGACGTCGATCCAGCCTTTCGGTTGTGCAAACTCGAGGGCAGAGAAAGGTATTAGGTCGTGGTAGCCTGTGCCAGCTAGAAGGGTGATGCGTGTTGGGGTGTACGATTCGTCGGCTTCGAAATCGAGGAAGATGCGTATTGAGACAATGGAGACGAGCCGCGAGAAGTGGATGTTTAAGTGATGGGGTTGAGGGCCGTCAGATCTGCTTTCATCAGCATCCCGCCCACCTTGGATCATTGCCTTAGAACTCACTGCCAAAACAGCCCTGTATCTTCGTCCCTCAATGCCTCAATACCACACCCAGGTTTACAGCTGCTGACGGTCCAGCTCGCCAGGTTCCCAATCTCCTTCAATCCTAAAGCTGACGGGTCGAACGGGGTATCGATTTCCATGGGCACTGGACGACGACGAAAGAGTCCGTTAGCAAGCTCTACAACGCTGCGGGCAACGGCTTCTCGATTTGGACCAAGGCGGAGTTGAGGGATTCCTCGGACAATGCGGTCCCGCCTGGTGGCAGCAGGGACCAGATTGACGGCCGCAGGAGGTGTACGGTCCATTCTGGTGGAGAAAAGATGCATGCAAAGGAGGTGTAGGAGAAATGCAGACAAACCGTCTTCGATGCCGCCTTCCTCCTCATCTTCTCCGTCGTTTCCATCTTCGTCGAGGTTACTGCCTTCATCCTCATCCGCTCCTTCTTCACCTTCCTCGTCTACGTCTTCATCCTCGATTTCTGCATCCGCGCCTTCGTCCACGAGTGGAGTTACGGCTGTTTGTGAGGGCGGTGTCGCGTTGTTTGATGCATCGTATGGGATTGCATTTCGCGATCTCCGGAATCTGAAATGCGAGAAGGAAGTATTGGACGGCGGTGTGGGCGTCATTTTGTGATCAAGAGATGCTGTAATCTTTCCTGGGGAGACGCGGCTGGGTTCGGACAAGGAAATGTTCGCGCCTCAGATGCAAGGCCGCCGGCGGGGTTGATGAGTAATCCATTCTCCTCGGGATGCGGCCGGGAAAGTGAAACTTCCCACTTCACTCCAACCTTCTCATGACGTCTGCTCACTTTCAGATATCACTATCACTATTCCCATTGCCTTGACCACCACCACACGTCGTTCTCAAAGGTAGAGGGTTCAGTATTCTTCAAACTCAATGTCCAATCTCAGGAAGTTTTCTGCGCACCCCCGCCCAGGTTGAAAAACATCTCTTTTCCTTCCTCCCTCAAGTGCGGGAACTTGGGGACGAAGTGCAATACTCGCACGATACCTACAGAAACTCGGGAAGATGGAGATCCTGCATGGTCCCCTGATCTCTCTCGATCCCCTCGTAGGCTCACACGTATTCCCGGCCAGGTCATCCTTCTCATTTCCGGGGATGATCCCACTGCTTCTGCAGATTTCCGTCTTACCTTGTAGATCCTTCCTCAAATAGGTCGCAACCCAACCTAAAGCAGCCCACGCTTAACCTACGGTCCTCAGGAACCATACGTTTTCGCTTCCGCCGTTTCCGTGGGACGGCTCTGAGATTGGCTGAGGTGTGCTGAGTCAAGCAAATATGGTTTAGTTTGCAGTGGAATCGACCAATGCCGGCTTTGACGGAGAAGCAGCAGAGTAAACTCTGTGGAGTCTCCACTATTTTCGAGGTCTTGGTGACGTCTCACCTGATTTGAAATGAAGTACGACGAGAGGTAATATATCACCGAAGGGTCATCCGCATACGCAGTTCGTTTCCTTTCCATCTTTGAAGGTGGAAAGCGGAATCAGCTGCAGTAACCATTCTCAACACTCGTTTAAGACACTTCAGCACAATAAATAGCCACCAATATCCTTCGATACCCCACATCTCCTATGTCAATATCCGCTTGAGATATTTTTACGTCTTCCCTTATCAGCAACTCCCAGTATGGTTCTCAAGAAGTGGAGACAACGCCGGGCCTCAATCCGCGAGCTACGAGCCAACTCCGACGACATGTACAAAGAGTACCTCAAGCTCTGCGCACAAGACAAGCAGCTGCGAGCAAATCAACCACCCCAATACGATGGCGCTCTGAGGGGAAGCGGGACCTCATTGTCCAGTGATGGCAGTGGCAGTCGAATTAATGAGCTTCAAACCCAGGCCAGGAGGAGTCGAGGGTCAACAGCCTGTAGCATGATGGGGAACTCGAGACCGGCGATTTTGATGGAGGAACCTCTGTGAAGACTGTCTGCAGGAGAGCGGACAGAGATCATTATGGTGCAAGAACTAGATGAGCAAGCCAAGAGCATTTGGGTTGGAATTGCAAACAGAAGCAAAATACTTTCGAGGCGGTGGACAGACGGAGAGCAGTGCTGACAGCGGCATACTCGGAGCAGCAGTGAAGCTGCCTGCGGATTGGAAAATGCGTAAGCCGAAGACACGTGAAAGTGTGGGGCACATCCCATGTACTGTATTTATTTTTCTTGCACGATATTTGTATTCGTCTCAGCAATTCATGGATCCCAGTAAGCATCTCTGGTGCAGGAACGCAATTCCATACTGTCTCAAGCCTCATTCTGTAATCATCCGTGTGCACTTCCAGTTAACCCATCATTCCCAGTCCTTCGACAATCGCCGGTTCCATCCTCACAAATGTCTGCTGGTGCTAGCGCACTAATACCGTCTACAGTCTCTCAGTCTTTGTTACACTGCTCCACCTGGTGTGGTGTTCGACTGTGCGAGTTTGACACAATGTCTGCAGTCGATGTGCTTCCAGTAGTTCGCATATTTCGTGCTGTATGTCCAGCAACTGTTTCAGAACGTCAATATTAGGTTCAATGCTGCTTCTGCAAAGCAACCTACTCTCGAGCATAGAAGAAGATGAAGCCAATCTCTAGGAGAAACAAAGACCATCGTAGACGTCTTGGGTATGGATCTTTTTCTCTGATGGCAAGAAGCAGCATAACGATGCAGGCGCCGGTGGTGGCCAGGAGAAGAACAGCATTGAGAATAAATAAGATACGAATGAGGGCCAACTCGCTCGGATATGGGAGCCAGGAGAGGTGGCAGTGGTGCCGTTGTGGTCGTCGCTTCAAGGATTCTAGTTGCGGGTCCCTGACGTATGAAGGTGGTTGGACATCTGCAGCAGCAGGCGGTGCTGGTCGTCTCTCTGGATTCTCTGGTGAAGCTTTCATTGCAATCTAGACGAGCACGCAGCGTCAGATATATGCATGGCCTGATGATGGAATCGGGGGTAGCTTGCATCCGTCTGTGGTAAATCTGCAACTGCGGCAGCAGTCTTTTCATGATCTGGCTGTGGCGGCTGCTTCGGAGCCTGGATGAAAAAGGCAAGTCAGCTTCAAGGCTTTGCCACTAAATGCAGTGGCGAGGGCGGGCATACCTCAACCTGTTGGCCTTCTCCAGCAAGGGTAGAAACTTCAGCAGTGGAGGTAAGAAGGCCTGATTCGAGGTCTTGATGCGCTGCAGGACACTCAGGACAAGTGGCGTGCTCGACGGTTGCAGACATCTTGCCGCCGATGATATTTGAATGAGGATGCTGCGGATGGAAATACTGGTATAGAATTGATAATTTTGGGAAGAAGTGGAGAAGCATCTGCGAAGACGATGTTTTGTTGATGTTGGCTGCTGCAAATGGAAAGCGCAGCCAGCAGCCGCTGCTGGGAACAGGCTGCATCAACAAGAAGGTGCGCACCTTCCCTCCGTTTCCCGAGAAGAGTGGGGCTGATCCATTACTGCGTCCCAATCGATTTCTCTTGATTGCTCTTTCCTTCTCTCCAACATCTTGAGGTGTTCCATACCGGACTATCCAACAAAATGGGCAACCTCCACAAAGTGGACTCTTGTCTTGCTCCCCATGTCTGCAAATCCTCTAGTACCAATGTATGGTCAGCCCAACGTAAACTGATTCTTCACCTTGACCTTCCTCGTCTCCGTTCCCCTGATCCACCAGGTTCGTCTTCTTTCTCACTGCTTTCATATCCCCCATTTTTGGTCCTCGTCCTCTCCATCTTGTTTCTTCCTATCCGTCCCGTATTCTTCTTTATCCACGGCCAAGTTCTTTTCCAACTCCTCGGTGACACGCCTGCTCTCGACCTCCCGAGTCTGGAACTGCTCCTCACTCCTCGTAACCTGCCACATATCACGAATCATAAACCAAAGGTTAACTGTGGAAGAGGCAGCCCAAAGCCCTAAAATCCGGGACTTTGGATACGTAAGGTCTCAATCCAGTAGTCAGTTGCAGATGGATAAGATCCAATCAGCCGGGAAGAAAGATAATGCACGGTTTTTGCGGGTTCGTTGGAATGGTATGGACTGTGTGGTAGGAAGCTGGATCCATTGATATGTTAACCCCTGAGCTTGGAAGCGTGTTTAGCCAGGCAACGTGCGCGGGAAAAGCTCTCAGGAAAAGATATTCTTTGTCTTGGCATTCCTCTTTGCAAATACAACCATGAAGGAAAATCTTTTTCCCCGAATTACTGCATTTTCACAAACCCCATTTGTAACATGATAACTGGGAGCAAGGGAGGAGCGGGGACTTGGAGTGTATCATCAACCAACAAGTCCTTGAACCTGGGGTTTTCCATCAGTTGATGAATGTTCAGCTAAATTGCCCCAATAGTAAGAACTAGCAGGACCATCTCACCTGCGAAACCTCTGATTGCAAGCCTAGTGAGCTGTCTGTTCCAATTTGCCATGTCTGGAGGACTTTCGACCATAATTGAAGTACCAACGAAGAGCCTATGTTGCCACAATGTTATGAACAATCCCCAGAACAATACCGTATCGGAGAACAGCTTCAAGGCAAGCAACATCATAACACAATTGATTCCAGATGCCCTCGAGTTATATTCAGGACCTGTAATTCTTATTAAATATCATCTCTATCTCAAGAGTGCAGTACCGAGAGAGATTTGCGGGGGTGAAGCTTGCCCCTTTTTAAGCGATCACGTGTTCCGTTCAAATAGTAGGAAAATGTTGGAACTGAGTGTACGCTGGTACACTGTAGTTTATATACCAGATGTATATATGGAGTGCTTACCCCGCGTGAGCTGAAAAATCAAGTCGTCAACCTCCAAAACATTGCAACAGAAAACTCAAGATTGAGGTTTGAAGAAAGTCTCGAACCAAATAGATTGCAAGTAACAACTGTATTTCCGGGACATCTGCATGCCAAATGCTAATCGTTTCTATCCTCTACGAGGACATAGCTACCAAACAAACGAAAATCAAATCTCCAAAATCTATCCCTCAAGATGCCTCTGCCAATTCTCTCAGAGCAGCCGCATCGCAAACCCATCTATATGCATGGTACCAAAATATTCTGACCAAGGTTCATTATTGACGCCCATATTGTGTTCCGACTCTCGATTCTTATCTATCTCATATTTCACCTGTCCATTCCACCAACAATCCCACTCATACACGCCGAGAGCAGCCCCGTGCATCACGACCCAAGCAGGGAGGAAGATATTAATACCCAACAACCATAACGGTTTGCTCAAGCTCTCTTGGCCATCCAAGATCGAGATCGTAATCACGATACAAAAGCCGGGAGTGCCAGAATTGCTGCGAGGCAGAGCAGGCGCAAGTCGAGGAAGAAGGCTTGGGAAACACTGCGAGGCTTGACACGGGACTCGTCCAGGTTGTGATAAATCAGGACAGGCGCTCCAGCACAGACAAGCGCCTTATATCTTTTTCTTCGGGACATCCTCGGACCTCTCTGTGTGACGTCTGATGTAATCGTCTGTATCCCCTATGTGCAAGCAGTGTGTAGCGAACCTATCCATGCTTGCTCAGCCGAATATCAAACCATTCTTAATGAGATAGTCCAGATCCAGTAATGCTACAATCCCCGGGGGTTTGCCACATACGTATGCATAGACGGGCGGGAATTCCACGAACTTATTGTATGGTTATACAACGGACGGATAGACATACGAAGCAGCTGATTTGGGGTGTTGGATCTCTGTCCAGCTCGAAAGTGAGTGGTGTTTTGAAACGACGAACTGGGAGAGAAGGGTAGTGTATCTTGACAGTTGATTGGTCGATGGTAACTGATGCCGATCCGGTGTCTGTGGTTCCCACAAGTGGGATTCCGCCTAGGGTGAAGAGTCTGGTACCTGAATTCGAGTTGAGAGGATTCATAAGATGAACTTTGGTCATCGCACCGAAGCCGACCTGTAAGCCATAATGAAATCAAGCAAAATTTGGTTACGAAGTCATTATTATTTATACCGAAGCCACAATTCCACAAGAGATCTATTAGTCCTCTCTGGATCGTAAACGACGACTGGCGACCGCTGTCCAGACCGCTGTCCATTCTGGCACAAAACGCATGCTATGCGGCAAATTATCACACTAGAGAGCCATGTCTGTCGACTAACCTATTCCAAAACTCTTCCTCTCGTCTCGCGTCCCTGATGTGGATCTGGATAGCTACTAGAGATGCCAATCCCCAGGTCAAAAGAAAGATATCAATACCTAACAAGTATTGTTCCTTCATCAAAATACCCCAACCATGTACTACTATAGCATAGATCTCCATGTAAAAGATGGTTAATGCTAGCGCGAGAGCCAGGGTAAGAAGGCGACTATCGAGGAGGAGAGCGTGCAAGGCATTGCGTGGCTGAATGGCCCTCATTCGTTTCTCCACGATCTGTGGAATGGAGGCATCCTTGGGCTTCAATGTATGCAGATAAACGGGTTGCACCTCCACTTGATGGAAATGCCGGTTGGGATGTTTCATTTCACCCAGACCAAGCTCGACGTCGAGGAGCTGGCTCAGCGGCTACTTCTCCGAATCCGTTCTCGCACGCTGTAGGTCCGCCCTCCAAGAGACACTCTTTAGATGTATTTGTGAATCACCGTCGCTGTGTATCCTGTAAGTGTTGATTGTTTAAGAGGTGTGGGACGTCAGATAATGCTGCGTTTCGAGGAGGATAACCTGGAAGGAAGGTGGAGGAGGTAAGAGAGCTTATAAAGCTAAGGGTAGCATTGTTAGATATTTCGGCATTGTTCTCTCAAAATCATTGTAATCTATAGAAGCGCAATTTTGAATTTCTTTGAGCTATGCTGTGGGAGCCTTCTCGAAACAAGGTTTTGTCTGAATCGCCGCTTTCCCACTCACTGTACTGTTCCGCTCATCTCTACCCCTGTCCTTGTTCTTCGAACTTTTTGAGTGAGTACCTGATTAATCAATGATCTCAAAATTAGACAAGCCCAAAGAAGCCTCCAATCATGAATTTTAATATTCTACACAGTTTACATGGACAAACATAATGGTATCACGTATTCTCATATCACATTATCCCAGCCCTGTTTCTCATCACGAAAACTCACTCGCCCCATCCATCAGTGCTCTATTGTTTTTATCCCCAGGCACCACATCAACGACCCATCTAACCCTACCATCCTCCTCCCGTCTCCACCAATAAGCATAGCTCTTCTCCAAGTCCCTGATGGCTCGGTCGCGCTCCTTCCTCTTCAGCTGCTCCAGCCCGTTGAAGTCTCTCGTCATGCTCGTGCCCGCCACATAAGTCATGACTGCCGCAATGCTTTCTGGTGCTCGTGGTAGGTGAGGAAGTTTGCGTCGCCAGATCGCGAGAATAATCAGTTGAATGATCATGATTGTAAGAATAGCGAGGCAGGTGATGCCCCAGAAGAGGAATTCGCCCCGTGATTGTCCGGTTCGGTAAGGGAGTCCTGATAGGGCCACGATGAGGAGTTCAGCAATCAAGCCGATGAATGCTACCATTGCGGGGGTGTAGTGGCAGTGCCAAAGTAAAGGAAAGAATGCTGTAAGTGGTATGCTGTGCCGTCTGAGGAGGATGGTGGCATCTGGGTTCGAGGAACCACGGGCAAGGTCGATATAAGGGGCAAACGTTTGAGCGTCTAGGTGAGTTAGCACGAATATTGTGGGTTTGGAAGGGAAAGTAAATATACCTTGGAAGATTTGCCCCCAATAGTAGGAAACGATGACGCCCAAAAGTGCTGTGAAGATTCGCCATCCTGTGCCGTTCGCCGAAGCAGTCGCAAGGAAGACGACCTGTGTCTTATTGTACCGGCTCACCGCATCAATCGTAAGGCCGAGAAGAGCGATAAGCAGCATGACGAAAAGTATATCGAACAAGAACCGATTGTTCTTCCAGTTGTGCAGCCAAGCAAACTTGGTTTGAAAATTCGTCCACCAGCTACCGATTTTGTCCTTAATTCCTTCCTTCTTATTCGGGTCATTCTCTTCGTCTCCTACTGGCATGATACCATATTTGACAATACCTCTCTCTGTGGCAAACTGCCCTAATCTGAACTTCTTTCCTCTCAAACGTTTCTTCAGCGCCGCGTAAGTGATTTCGGTTGGGATCTGAACAAACTCTTGCTCGATTTCCGGGTGGCCCATGAATGCTGCTATGCCAGCCACGCTCGTTGGGTCAGCTGAGAAACCACCAGGTTTCTTCCACCACTGAGAGATCACATATATAATGGTCAGGACCTGAAGAACAAGTGTGACGATGACTACGTCACAGACCCAGGGATTGACGCTCAGTTTTGGCGGACAAATGATTGGGTTATTCGTGTTTTCAGCGTTGCAATAACCGGTGTCGAAAAATGTGAGCCCTGCGGAGAAAGCTGTCCCAATGTGCGCTGAGATGATAGCAATTCGGAGTGGTGTTAAGACGGAAGAATCGACGAGGGATCCACCTCCAGGGGTAAGCATTTGACGAATAGGCTCCCATGTTAGAAGCTGTTCATACATTGTTCTAAGGAGCATGTGAAATGCTCGGCTCATGACAAGGGGCGTGTAGTCGCCAAGAATTGTTTGCGTTATGGGCCAGATGTCGGGGACTGCATCGAACTTCTTTGGATTGTCTGTTTGGGATGGACCACCTCCGCCTCCTCCACCGCCACCACCACCTCCGGTTCCTGTTGGGGCCAGATTTCCAGTGGCTTCAATGGATTGAAGGATGCCCGATGAAGCAGAAATCAGGGAAGAGGCTTGGCTTCCAGATGCCGTTGTCGCAGATCCGGACGGAACGGAATCTGATGGAACACTGCTACCACTTGGTACCGTTACTAGCGTGCTTGGAGATATAGGAGGGATCGTCGGAGAAGGACTGATCGATGGTGTTTTCAAGACACCGCCGACGGGAAGTGGTATGGAAGACCCTGGAGCGCTTGATATACTGACTGGAATCGCGGGGACTGATGTGGCTGGCGGTAGAGAAGTCGATCCAGAAACAGGAGGAAGCGGGAGAGAAGAGCTCGACGGAAAACCTGCTGGTGGGGAAATTGTTGATGCTGGTATGGATGATGGTGGCCCAGATGGTGTAATGACCGCGAGAATAGGAAGCGAGCTTGACGAGGTTGATGACCCAGAAATAGGAATTGTAACCGGTCCTGTGGGTATCAACGAGCTGGAGACAACCACGACTGGAACATTCGAAGAAGAAGTGGGGAGTGAGGAGGGTGGACCTGTTGGTGGAGACGTCGGAGAGGAAGAGGACGAGCCGTCGGTAGTTACACTAAGTGGCACAGTTGCTGGACCGGAGCTCGAAGAACTCCCAAGCGGAGAGCTGGTTGTAGAAGATGAGCTGCTGTTGGCCGTCACCACTGCTGGTCCAGAACTCGAAGAATGTCCTGTGGTAGAGCTGCTCAAGGAAGATGAACTGTTTGTGCTTATGCTAACTGGGTCGATGACAGCACTTGGACTCGAAGAAGACGAGCGGGGGCTCGTTATCGGTGGTGTGGTTGGCGTGGTGCTCGATGAGTTCGAGGTTGTAATCCCACAGGCGGAGATCGTTGAGGTTGAAGTGTCGCAGGATGAGACAGTCCCCAACTCTACGTCAATTCTTGTTATGCAGGATACTTCGGTTGCGATACACGAATTGCTGCTGACCGTAACCGACGGTGTTGTAGTAACTCCACAGCCAGAGATTGTTGAAGTTGAAGTATCGCAGAATGAGATGGTCCCCAACTCTACGTCTATTGATGTCATGCAAGATACATCAGTTGCAATACAAGAATTGCTGCTGACTGCAACTGAAGGCGTCGGAGTACTTGACGAATTCGAGGAAGTTGTCGATCCACAGCCGTCGATCTTAGAGTAAGAAGTGGTGCAGAAAGTGTCAGTAAAAGTGGTTGTGCAGGAAACTGTCGTTCCCATGCAAGAGTCACTGCTGACAGAAACTGGGGGAGTCGTTGTTACCCCACATCCAGGTATCGAAGTCGAGGAAGTAGCACAAGAAGTTTCGAATCCTCTGTCGACATCCCCGACAGTAATACACGAAGTTGAAGTGGCCATGCAGGAATTGCTACTGACTGTAGGAGAAGGAGTGGTGGTGATTCCGCACCCAGGAATTGACGTTGAAGTAGTACCACACGAGGTTTCGAATCCTCTATCAACATCCCCGACAGTAATACACGAAGTTGAAGTTGCCATGCAAGAATTTGTTGTAATTCCACAACCGGGGATCGAAGAAGATGAAGTTGCACACGAGATTCCAATTTCACTATCGACATTCCTTGTAGTAGTACATGAAGTCTCGGTTGTCATGCAAGAGTTTGTTGTAATTCCACATCCGGGGATCGAAGAAGATGAAGTTGCACACGAGATTCCAATTTCACTATCGACATTCCTCGTAGTAGTACATGAAGTCTCGGTTGCCATGCACGAATTGCTGCTGATTGTTGGAGTCGGTGTGCTTGTAGTTAAGATACACCCACTTTGGGTAGTCGTCGAATTTGAGCACACTTGCTGAGGGCCGATATCGACATTCAAGACGGTATAACTGCACTCCTCGAGGATCGAGACGCAAGAATTGACTGGGATAATGGTAACAGGCGGCGGTGTCGGAGTGGGTGTGCTTGTGTTTAAGGTGCAACTAGGTTCGGTAATAGTAGAATTTGAGCACACTTGCTGGGGACCAAGATCGACGTTTATTTCCGTAAAAGTGCATTGTTCGAGAATCACGCTGCAAGAATCAACTGTGATGGTCGAAGTCGTAGGGCAATCCCCAAGAATGGTCGTATTGCAACTGGTATCTGGTGTCAATTCCTGTCTCTTTGCCTTCTCGAAAATAATCGGGGTGACAGTGCATTCGATGTCCATACTCGTCCCGTTGATACATGTTGTTCCCGTGGGAGTTGGAAATGTGGTGGCGAAATGTATTCCTGTAAGAACTTCGATGGGCGCACTGCCGCCAAACCTGCCTTGCCGCTCAACGATTGGTGCTATTGTTGGAGTCGGTGCGACTGTCAGAGGTGGCGCGAACCTTCCTCTGCGTTGGATTGGAGCGGCGGGTATTCTCATCCCCTCTGTTTACTGTAAGCTAGGGGAATTGAACGAGGATGACGAAATCACCTTTCAGAACATCTTCTCGGCGCTCAAGAACTGAACTTTCTACTTCTCTTCGTACGGGGATATGAAAATTCGAAGCGGCTCCAGATGGTAACTTCTTTTGGAGAACAATAAGAAGTGCAATCAGTGCGAGACTGACGATCAGGCAACCAACCATGCCATATATGCGAGTCAAAATCGGTCGCTTTTCGGGATCACCACGTTCTGAAGTAGTTGCGGTAAGTATATGTAGGAGATAGAAGAAGCTCACGGTTGGCACTCACGGGAAAGTTTCAGTTTCCTCCCCTTAGCATCCCGGCTGTCCCTCGAGAAAGCAAATGAGGACCGCATCGTAAACACAATACGATCAAAAACGAACGTCACTGACAGTCGGAACCAAATGAATGTCTGCTGAGATGTACAGCTCAAAGGAACGGATTATCGACACATCGCAGTCCAGTTTTCGAGGCAAAAGAGTGACGAATAGAGAAATAGTTCAGGTGAGGCTGCACCGGCAGTGCCAAACATATATATGGCCTGGACCGGACGTGGACTGGAAGGGTGCACCCAGATACCAGCATTTGATTGGCTAGGCACCGAAAAGGAGGCTTGAATTTCTAGGAAGGGCTTGAAAATTTCCCGCACTTGCATCAGGAACAACAACAAAGGGGGCTGTGTCTGGAAGCACCACCTGTGGATTTCATGCAGCAATCGCAGCCAGCCAAGTCTCCAGGGCCAAGAGGAGGCTTCCGAATTTACGCTTTCTTTTTGCAATCCTCCAAAACAACGCTCTTTCTACTTGGGCGACAATTTCGACCCAAGATGAAGACTAATTATTGACGAACGATGACGGCCATTGGAAGCAGCCGTTGACATGCTACACGTCGGTCAGAATTTCCACATCTCAGCGCAAAACTCGCAAGTTCCACGAAAGAGCGTATTCCGTATTCGAACCTCGGAAACTCGAAATACGCAGGTATTCGGAGAATGGCGTTCTTTCACCAGGCACCACGGCAGCTTCTCACACAAGCGAGCCACTCCCCATGCTCGACCCGAGAAGTTCAGGACAGTTGGTGCGCCCATGTTCTCAGCCTTACCGGTCCGGGGAGATCTGGATCACCATTGGGCGGCGCGGCATCGAAGGTTATCTTTATCGGCCAATCGTTGCGGGCTGGGGCCTGGGCTGGCTGCAGGTTGTCGGACTTAGATGCACCCAAAAGGGTGGCTCGATACTCTCCGCCGAGGAGTGAAATTGCATTGGCGGCTGCACAGGCTGTCTGGAGTTTGCATAACAGAATCGAGACCCCGTGGTCCCTTGGGGGCTTGGGCGGACCGTGGAAGCTTGTAAAGCTGAGATCTGATCTGATTAGAGTGGCCTTCTTGGTTGGCCGACACCTGCATCTGAGAATGTCTCGACGCTTTTAACGCCATGATGTTTCGAAATGGGCCAGCATAAGAAATGCTTCTGCGTTGTGATAGGGCAGTTGCAGGAGTTTGGAACCCCCTTTTTGTCTTCACAAGTGCTTCGTCGGAGAGGGACTGCCAAGGATCGCGCGGTTGCTTAAATGCACCTCCGCCAAGCGATTCACAGCCCAAGCTCTCCCGTGTCCACCAATAAAGTGCTGTCGCGCCAGTAGTACTAGCCTTCTGTAGAAGCTGATTTGGTCAACACCAAAAATGTGTATCGATGGTGGAAGTTGTTTGGATGGCTCAGCACGTAAAAGATGTTAGAATCAAAACAAAGGGGTGGAAACAGGAGTAGAGTAGTGTGCTTGTTGTGGGGGTGTTGAACTTTTGCCTCACAGACATGGTGATGCTCATTCTTGAACTGTTCAAGGACTCGTCGGTCGCAACTTGGCCTCACACTGTTTCCATCCATATCTCCCACGCCAGCAACTTATCGGATATGATAGCCAAACACAGGGATGTTTCGTCGAATCGCACGGCCCAGGGAAGGGGAAAGGGGGAGATGGAAATGATTTGAAATTCTGAACATCAACATGACTCTCGATTTGGTATTTCCTGTGATCCGCTTTCCCAATCCCAATCTTTTCGCGCCACCAATGCTATGCCTGCGCCCACTAATGCATTTCCAACACCTGACTGTTACGCCTTCAGCCTCAGTGCTCGAATATCTGATCCATCTCTTGTCTCTGCAATTCTGCCAAAACTTTTAAACCTTCTCTACAGCCTCATTCCTCACAGCTTGTTCCCTCGTACTCCTCTGTCTCTCCAACTCCACAAGCTCAGCAGCTTTCTTCTCCTTCAAAAATGTACAGAATCGACTCCCATCCCTCAGCCTCTGTCCCTGCCAGCTGAAGACCCAAGGAATAAAACACATTGCCAAACTCAAGAACCCAAGCAGACTGCTCGCCCAAGGCACACCCAGCTTGTTATACATCGGCTTCGCCGCAAACGGCAGAACTGCGCCTGCTAAGCTTCGAGAACAAGACGTAGCCGCCATCGCACTCGCTGCGAAGATTTCGTATGCGTCGGTGAGATAGTTGAGCAGCGCCATGAAGATGAGGATGTAGCCGGCGCCGAAGGGGATTCCTGCAAGCATGGGAACGTAGAAAGGGATCGAGGGCCGAGATGTCCAGCCTAGCCAGAAGAGGCCGATGACCAGAAGAGGACCACCAAGGAAGGCGAGAGGTAAGCGACGAGACTCTTCTCTCTGTGTCCAAGGTTTGCGCTGCGCTTGCGCTCGACGTAAGAAGCCGTCATACCAGAGAAATACACCGATCGAAAGCAGGGCTCCCCCGCCGATAGGCAAGAACATCAATCCTGAGATGCCGGGTGATTGCAGGTAGATGGCTTCAAAGACGAAAGCAACCTTACAAGCTAATATTCTGCTATTCCCATATCATATCTACGCTAGAGTGTATGCACATTTTAAGAATGACTTTTCCGACTACCTACAGGTCTTCTACCTCTAAGTCTTCTACTTCTTGACCGGCGTTATAACGATGCGTAATCTTCTGAGCTTCTTCTGTACTCAGACTATGGATTCCCCTCATCAAGTGACGTGTCAAGTCTGCGCCCCTCTTGAAAACTTTCGAGCAAGCTGGTGAACCCCCAATAGGGCATGTGGTTGATTGGAAAGAAGCAGCCGATCTCTTGACATCCGATACGTTTGCGGGTAAGTACGGCTTCTGCGCCGCTACAAACACGAGGTGGTGGCGAAGTTTGAGATGCTCCTTGTAGTTATGCATCTGGTCCCACATCGTTGTGGATGCGCATTCGGGAAAGGAGCAGCGCATAGGCGGCTCGATAGGGTTATGGTAGTACTGCATGTGGTTGGCAAGTCGAACCTGTGTTTCAAAAACCCGATCACTTGTGCATCCCGGAATGGTACACTTTCTAGGTTTCCACTCACGGAGATGGACGTTGTCAATGTGTACCTGGAGAAGTCGAGCGGTTGTAAAAGGTACTCTGCAATCGCCACGGTCACAGATGAAGAGCTTCTCCTTTTCCTCCTTGTTCTCCTTCAGCTTACAGCTGAGTTGGTGAGCGCGTAGATAAAATTGCGACTGAGTGCTGTAGGCATTACATATGTCGCAACTGAACATGAAAAGAGTCGGATAGTCTCTTGAATTCCCCGTCGGACAATGGACCGGGATGAGCTCATGGACTGATGTAATGTATTGCTGGAGAACACTGTTTCGAACAACGTTGATTCGAGACAGTCCTTCAATGAACTCTCGACCTGGTGCTGACAAGACGCTGGTGCTCCTGCTCTGGCCGTTTGCGTTTTCCAGGAAGACATCCAAACCCATGGCTTCGTCCTGATCTTCTAGATCCTCAGTGCGGTCATATAGAATTGTATCAAGTCTCTGTGCCGTGGCGTCGTCCATCACCGCGTCGCCTCCATCAAGGAGAAGAAGACGCGGATCAATGAGTGTATCGGATGTCGTGCTCACTGAAGACGTTGTCGAGGCCGGTGTTGCGATGATAGGGGATGCAGATGCGGTCGCAGACCTTTTGGAAGTCGTACTTGGAGTGGACACCGATGTCTGCGATGGATTGGACGCCGTCCAATCCCGACCTTTCTCGGACTCCATCCATTCTACCTTCCTCTGGCGATGGAGTGCCTCGCTTGCTCTCTGTCTCCCATTCTTGGATGCAGGATCAATGTCATTTTCTTCGCAGTAGGTGGTGATCTCGCTATTCGCTAGTCGTCTCTTTTTGTATGGGGTTCCAATAGTAGGCGCTTTCCGACTCATGAACAGCTGCTCAGCTCTCGTAGTATAGGTGTCCTGCTCGACCTCCCCTACATAATCGTCCGTCATACCGTTCGCGAAGCTGATAGCGGAATGTCCCGTCACTTGGGCTACCTCCTTCGTAGCAACGCCGATCGGGTGTTTAGAGATTGGTATGAGATTTGCAAGATCTCGGGCTGCACCACGACGAATATCGTGCGAAATGATATGCGCTAGAAGACCAGCTACCTGTCCCAACACTTTCGTGGTCCTTTTGATTTGTCCGGGTGCAGCAGGTAGATTCCAGGCTATAAAAGCACTGCATTTGTTGAGTTGAGGTATGACAGGGCGTTCTGGATATAACCACTGGATCGTTCGGTCACGTCTGAGAGATGCCTGCGTCAAAGCATCATCGAGGGACGAAAGGTTTCCTGACCGGAGAGCCTGGATAAAGAGTAGCTTGACGGGGCAGATAACATTTCGTAAAGGATCGCGCAAAGTTTGTAGAGGGATATCCCGATTGTTATTCAGATCGCGTCTGAAAGTTTGGTTAGCTCTAATTGGACTCGATCGAGAACAAGAGAAGATCGGTCTTACTTCTTGTTCTTTTCGAACTCGAGGGTGCAGGTAAGTTGGACGCCGTCGATCGTGTTCTCACCCGGTAGAAGCTTCATCTCCAAATGGCTCCATCGCATAAACTCCACGGAATACAATTTGCTCTTTGACATATCCCCGGCCCGACAAGCCAAGGCAGATTGTAGAACAACCGTCAGAGCTTTGTGGATGACAATATCCCATGATAAGCAGCCCTCATCGAGTGCGGTTTGGAGCCAACACCGGGACATCTTTTCGACCAGGGCAACACCAATCCATTCCAACTTTTTCCGTCGTCGGCCTCGATCCAGCTTCCCTTCATCGGAGAGCGCGTCAACGAGTGCATCTATTCTGCTACATTCGTGTGTGCTCAATTTAAATTTGGGGTATTCGAAGGTCAAAGCCGAGAAGAGAGTTATAATTCCTTTCCTGATGGATGAGCGTAAGGGGACCACTCCTTCAGCCCCGCGGCCTTGGATATGCTTGACTACGGTATCGACGAAACGAAGGATGGTGACGTGATCTGGGCCGGTCTCTGGATCGATCCTAGGTGACCATTATTAGCTTAGAGTAAGGAAGTTGGACGTCGTCTATCTAGGCTAATTAAAAGGGGGAAAAAAGATCGATCAATTTACCGGGTACTATTCTGTTTTGTGTAGCTCTCAATCCGGTTGAGCCAGAGGGAACGTGCATAGCGAGTTGCCGGTGCTCCCCGACTGTCCGTCAGGCCGCGAACTCTCTTCTTGGAGGATATGCGATCTTCAAATAACTGCTCCTGCATCGAAGCGATGCTGGTTGAACCTGCATTGGCATACCTCTTCTGTACCGGGGAGAATTCGATGTCGGAAGAATTGAATGGCTCGTGCTCTTGCTCGTCCATCTCTAGAGCTTCTAGGAGACAAAAGAAAGGAAAAAAGAAAGATGAAGTTGATCTTCTGAGAAGTTGCAGGTGACGATGAAAGAAAGACGAAGTTGAGCTTCCGAGAAGTTGGAGGAAGACGGAGGAGAGAGAAGGAAAGTTGAAGGAAAGACGGAGAAGGAAAATGTTGAAGGAAAGACAGAGATTAAGGAAAGAGCGGAGGGGTTTGAGGGGTACATACTGAATTGGGAAGGAAGCGAGGAAGCGACGACGGACGCACACAGGCAACGTGTGCGAGGTCACGTGATGTCTTCTGAGGATGGAAACTTCTACTTCCCTTACGATGCCTGATTGTATCGGGCTTCGAAGTACATGTAGAAGATCCCATAGATGAGGCTTAGGTAGATGCATGTTGAGCTGACGATTAACTCAAATATCAGCATCCTCAATGGACGAGTCAAGGTGACGGTGGCCATCTGCTTCCAGCCTTTCTTTTCGAGGTCGAAAGGAGCGAAGATATTGGGGTTTTGGGTACTTTTGCGGAGGGCAGCGGCGCGTTTTGAGAGTAGGACTGGCCCGTAGGTTTCGGGGAGCCAGAGGAGGGGAGCCCAGGACACGCCGGCGAAGATAAGGCCGATCCAAAAGACCCACCGCCAGTTTAAAGCTGGGGCTATGAAGCCGGATATTAGAGGGGCTGCGAGGGGACCAATGCATGTTCCCTAGATATTGTCAATATGATTTTGAGACCGGGGCAGAAAAGCATACACCCATGAACAGCGCCATTGCCCTCCCTCTTGTGACTGGATCATCATATATATCCGCGAATATACCACCAGTGACCGAGATCGGGCTGCTCGCGTTTATGCCCACTAATATTCTGAAGATCAAAAGGGCAGGGAAGTTCGGAGAGAGTGCGCATGCCATGGTAAAGATGGTGAAGAAGAAGAATGACCCGATCATGATTGACCTTCTCCCGTATGATTCTGAAAGCGGACCAAAGAGCAAGGGGCCCAGCACATACCCGAAGAGGTACATTGATATTGGGAGGATCTGAGCGGCCGGAGAGGCGACATGGAAGTATTCGCTGATTATCGGGATTGCGTTCGAGGGGAGAGAAGAGCCCATTGTGCTATTGACAACCACGAGCATGCCCACAGCCACGATGCTGACTTTCCGAGTCTATTTTGGAGTCCGTTAGCTAAATACTCAAGCATTTCGAGCAGTGGCTCAATGGCGTACGGTTGACCAGTTGTAGGGATTTTCTGGATCCCCATCTTTCCAAGATATGATTTTCCTTGGCAGCGAAACACTCGATACACTAGAATTCGGGGACGCAGCCTTGTTGTCTTTTCCTTCCAGATCATATCTCGCCGTGGCATCAGCTTGATCTATCCCAGAGACTATTCTTGAAAGGAAGCTTTGAGGTTCTAGAATTCTGTCAAATTTGGGATTTTCCCGGGGTTGTCGGGCTCACTACTTGAAGGTGGGGTTTCGATCAACCCCGCATCGATTGTCTGCCGGCCCTTTGGCAGGACAGGACTGCTTCTGCCAGAAGACAACATTCTGAAGCACCTGGAGTCTGTAGCAATGATTTGGAGCCATTGCCCTTATGTATAATCCTCAGGTGTGAGTGGGTGATTAAACTCATGACCTAGGTTTAAAGTGGGCCCCCTCTGGCGCAAAATGGGGGAGTTGCCGGTAAGGCTAAGAAAAAAAGTTACAACTAGGACCTCATTCGCCAATTATTGGAGTTATCCCCGCAGGCGAGGCCAGAACGAATCATTCGGACGAGGATCGACAACTTTGTCTGGCCCTTCATTGGTGACAGAAATCTTGGGAACTGCACGGTGCCGATAGCCGTGGACGGAACGGCAACGGGCAAGGTTGCAGAAATGGGGTGTGCTTCAGCCGTTGAGGTCGAAAGGGAAAAGGAGCAAAGGACTCAGAAGCGAGCAATGATTGGAGCTTTTTGGCCAAGTAGAGAACAATATTAGTTGTCTGAAGTGTCGTGTTGTACAGCATCTCCACCACTACAGGCTGCAAAGCAGAACACAGGATTCGGGGATATGACAATATAACTCGGACAAGAAGTCCGTCCTCGACACAACAGGTCCCGTGCATCATCAGACCTCCAATGCAGTTGAAAGAGCATGGAGTTGACCCGACATCGGGGCCGTCGAGATTCCCAATCGGTCCCATGGTGCATATCATCGGATCCTCAAGCCATACGCCCTTCGAACGACTCTCGTGCTCTCGAGGCAATTGTCTTTGTTGGTTATCATTGTATTGAGCAGTGCTATGTCTCCAAGTTGATGCTCCGGCCAAATCTTGCATAAAGTTCGACTTTCAATTCTGACATTTCCTCTCTAACTGTGGCAATCTTCCCCTCCAGCACCGAGACTTCTTCTTCTATCTTGGTTGTGTTGGTCGACAGCATTTCTTGGGCTTCGGGCAGGGGTAAGGAGATGAAAGAGTCGCCAACTCTGTAACTGCTTGCTGTTAGCTCCGTATTACAGGAAGGGTATGTAGGTAGATGTACGGGATCTTGTCGTCTTCGTCTGCGAGCTCTAGCTCGCTCGAGATATCGTCAAGGTCTTCTTTCTCTTTCTGAACGCACGACAGAGTCAGCATTGGCAGACTCGTAGGTAGAGGATATGTAGACGAACATGTTTCAGCTTCAACTCGTCTTCAAGGCCAATCTCTCGTTGGTGCAGTCGACTGAATTTGTTGATCTTGTCTTGGTCCTCTCTCCGGACCTCAATCTCGTCGCTGCCGGTTGCAGCCTCATCTTCTTTGGATAGCTGAAGGCACGGTTAGCTTTTACCACAGGATTAGGTGAATTGGTGGATCAAAGACATACCATACGACGCTGCATCTTGTGTGGTTGTGGTGTTGATAATCGCGTGGTGCCTTGCGGTTTTCCATTCCAAAGCCTCGCGATTCCCGTAGCAAACAAAGCAAACTGGGCACGTGACCACGACCCAACTCCTGAGTTCCCTTATCGATCCCCGCATCAACTAAACGAGTCCTCAAAGCAGAGTTTGCATTGAATTCTGAGTGTTGCGCTTTTAATCTCCCCTATCCTTCTGTTACTTCTCCGTACGATTTCTGGTCTGTCAAGGACATACCAAGAAGACTCCGCCAATACACATAGTTCAATCAGCTTTGGGCGCCGCTGCCTGTAAGTACCGGGCACTTTTCACATTGGCGAGTTGCTTCACAGGATTTACTGGGTTTACCGCGGGCGGACCGTTGTATTCAAAAGACTTTACGCTGAAAGATCGCTGGCTTCGGCTTTTCAGGCCCGTAAATTGCGCTGTATTGGATGTTCTCCTGCCACCCGTTGCCCGGAGATGGAACAATATTTCGGCTTGGGCAAAGGTTCTGAAACCTCAGTTACATCGCATAACCTTGCAAAGCTCGGCCAATTGATAGAGGGAGGGATCGCTGGAACTCTCCCTTCAAGTCACTCGGGCGACATATTTCTACGAAGACTTTTCAACGTTCTTTTTTCAAAGCTCCCGTTCGCTGGCTCATGGAATTCTGGGTACTATCCAAAGATACCCGAGCCACTCCCAGGGCCAGGTTGGCCAGCGGGGCTAGTTGCGTTCCTCCTCGCCATCACCGCCAGTCATATTTTTGAATTTTTGGATTCGCACTTATCTTCGACTTCGACATCTTCTAGGACCTCGAATCACTGGATTCTCAAAGATATGACTGCTTCGAATATCTTTCGGTGGTCGTTTCAGCTTCATAACATAGACGTGTGTGTGAAATACGGTTCGGAACCGAATCTTCCATCCGCCAGGAGGAATTCAGCACACCTCAAATCTAGGGCCAATCTTGCAAATTGGTCCAAGCGAGCTCGTTACCAACGATATTGAGGCCCTGAAAAGGAAATGCGCCGTTCGATCACCATATCCCTGATCCAATTGGCATGATTGTTTGCGCTTACTCCGGAGCGCAACAATGTACTTTCTGGGGGAGACAAGGAGATGCACAGTGCCCTTCGAGCGAAGCGCTGAAGGTGGTGGCAGCTGTACGGTACACACGACCTCTCAATGGCGGACTTGCTAAAATCCTAACTTGGAATAGTACTCGGGAAAGGAGACAACACTTTAGAACAATCCCTTGATGCAAATATTGAACACCTCATCTAACTTTTAGAATCAAAATGTCTTTCGGCTGTTGAGAGTTACAGCCCGGTCGACCTAGCTCCAGAGATCCAGTACTTCACCTTAGATGTGATCCCAGATATTGCTTTCAGAAAACCATTCGGAAGTCATCGGGCTGATCGAGATGTTCTCCTCCTACGTCCGAACAGTCCAGGAAGTTGTCCCTCTGGTGATTTTCCTTGCTACGGTTTCCTAGATTATGTCAAGTCTTTTTCTCGGGCATTTCCAAAGCGATTTTGCCCGAAGTACACAGATAAAGTTGGTGTGGGTAAGTTGATGGGGTGTTCCCTCTTCTATCTCGTTGGGCCAAGTTTTCTAATTTGTATCTGTCGCTAGCATGCAAGGAAGCAGTTGCTGAACCCCTCGGACCCAGCAAGAAGACCCGACGCAACACGTCGGGCTCATTTATTCGCCACGGTCTCACACAACCCGAAGCAGAAGCAGAAGCCCTTCTGCAAATGTATCTACCCTATCCAACCCTCTACTGAATACCCCCACAGTTTCGCAGGCGCCGAAACTTCCGCAGCGGCAGTCTGTGCCGCTCTCCTTTACATCTTCACAAACCCACACATCTATAACACCTTCTTTGCTGAGCTCTCCAGCTCCATAATCTCACACCCTATCACCAACGAAGAGGCACGGAAACTGTCCTACCTGCAAGCAGCTATCAAGGAAGGACGCGAAGGTGTTTAGGTCAGAACGATGGTTAGAAGGGAGCTAGATGTGGATATGGTGTTTGAGTATGGGAGGTGTTTGTGTTTAAGGAGGAATGTTGCGGTTATAGAGTTAAATAAGGTTTTCGTGCAGGCATGTTTGTTTAACAGCAAGTGTGAGGAGATGGAGTGAGTGCTAGTCAGTGGTAACTAACCTTTTCCAGCTGCGTCGCAATTTTGAGTTCGCAGTTGTAGATCCGTCGCAGGCTTGGAAGTCGTCCAACGTAGTTTGTTCCTGCAGAGTGATGTGTGGATGAGGTTGACGAAGCGTGTCCTGAGTTTTTGATCCGATTTACCTGGTCAAGTATGGCTCTGACGGATATGACCTGCTGCATAGTCACCTGTGGTCAACGATCATAGATCCCCAGTGGGTATTTTCCGTTCGCCCCATGGATTTCGCCCTCTTCGGCAATGGCTGCATTCTTTAACGCATGTCGCAATACTCGCTTCGAGTCATGTGAGAACATGAGGTCCTATCAACTTGACTCAAGGGACCCGGCCCGCTTTCATCACAGAATATTGGACCACTTTTCAGCACGACGGACAGATTCCGCTGTTCCTGCAACCAAACGACAATCGATGCTTGATCAAGGCAATGCTTCGGCCGGACCTCCGCCCACTTTTGATAAGGAGGGGCTGGGCAGCACGTGACAAGTGCGGATGTTTTCTCCGCATCGAGCTTCGCAAGGTGCGCCACTATCCGTCGTCCTCTCTCTCTCGAACTGTACCTAACCAATCAAAACTGCCCCCTCCAGTTACTCCTCAGAACTCATCCTACGAGACGGTCTCACGGAAAGCATGGGCACAGTGGCCCACCGGCGTTTGCCAGATGCAACCGTTCGTTCGAAAAACATGCCATTTTATGTCTTGATAGCGTTCACCATTCCCATCGTAGGTCTTTTATCAATTTCTTATCAAGGATGGCGAGCTTCGAATAAGCTTTCTTGCCCGTGGCACCCCGGTCCCATTCCTGTGATGACAGTTTGCTATCGCTATGCAGCGCTTATCTTCCCAAGCTGCATATTTTTTATGACACATGACCCACGTCCAATAGAGAGATGAAACAGTCTGCTGGGTTGGTGATATCAAGACGGGAGCTCCGAGCTGGGAGGTTGGTAGCAGGGATCCCGCATGTCTGAAGCGTAAGCTCGATGCTAACTTATATCAACCTCTTGTGTTACAAAGATATCTATTTCCTCCTCAGAATTTCTCCTCAAAAATTGTTTGAAGATATATCATATACCTTTAAGAAGTAGAAATCATGACGACAACTGGAGGAACTGGAGTCCAGCCGGACCTGGAGAAGACAGTCAGCAGACGATCCCATTCAAATGTCCCCCCACAGGAGTTGCTCGCAAATGAGGCAGATACCGAGCTGTTGGGTAAGTAACTGAAGCTCTGGAAGCGGATGAGTGTGGTTAACGAAGAGGTCCAGCCAAGCTAGGATACAAACAAGAACTACGTCGCAACTTCACCATGCTCGAAGTGTTTGGAATTGCCTTTAGTATTATGGGACTTCTTCCATCCATCGCGTCAACACTCGCTTTTTCCATCCCTGCTGGCCCGGCTGGCATGGTCTGGGGTTGGTTTCTAGCTTCCATGTTCATCTTCGTCGTTGGGGTTGCAATGGCAGACCTTGGTTCTGCCATGCCTACATCTGGGGGATTATATTGGTGGTGAGCTCTTTCTCGCATCCTAGAAAGTGCACATCTAAATTTGTGAAGGACGCATTACTTCGCGTCTCCGAAGACCCGAAACGCTTTGAGCTTCCTGGTTGGGTATTCTAACAGCTTGGGTCTGATCGGTGGGCTTTGCAGCATCGACTATGGATTCGCCTTAATGTTCTGCTCTGTGTAGGCCCCCACGCCCACGGAAGCTTGCTTCCACTTACATCCCTCAGTATTGTCATTGCACGTGATGGAAACTGGACCCCCAGTAACGGAGTAGTCTACGCCGTCTTCCTCTGCTGTGTCTTGCTCCACGGGGTCCTGGCCTCCACTCTCTCTAAGGTCATGGGAAAGCTGCAAACCGTCTTCGTTGCAATGAACATCATTCTCATCGTCGCCACAATTATCGCCCTTCCCGTCGGAAAGCATCTCTCCAGCGAACGCAACGATGCACACTACATCTTCGCCCAGACCGAGAACCTTACCACTTGGCCAACGGGATGGGCTTTCATGCTCTCCTGGCTCAGTCCTATCTGGACCATCGGTGCCTTCGACTCCTGCGTGCACATGAGCGAAGAGGCCGCCAACGCAGCAAAAGCCGTCCCGTACGGAATCATGATGTCCATCGGCTGCTGCTGGTTTCTAGGCTTCATAATCATGATTGTGATCGCAGCTTGCATCAACCCCGACCTCGAATCTGTCCTGGGGTCTTCCTTCGGCCAGCCAATGGCCCAAATCTACTACGACGCCATCGGCAAAAGCGGCACTCTAGGCTTGATGTCCCTCCTTTTCATCGTTCAATTCGTTATGGGTCTCTCTATCCTCGTTGCCGCGTCCAGACAAACCTGGGCATTCTCTCGCGATGGCGCCCTCCCATTCTCGGGTTCTTCCGGCCAATCTCAAAGAGAATGGGATACATTCCCTTCCGCACAATATGGGGCTGCGTCTTACTAGCCGCCATCCTCGGCCTCCTCTGCCTCATCGCGCCCGCCGCGGCAGCAGCACTCTTCTCCCTTGCTGTAGCAGGTAACAACCTAGCCTGGGGCCTCCCAATCTTCTGCCGTGTGGTCTGGGGCCAGCACAAATTCGTTCCCGGCCCATTTTATACCGGTGATCGCTTCTCTAAACCAATTGCCTGGGTAGCGATCATCTTCCTCGTTTTCGGCATCGTGCTAGCTATGTTCCCGGATGGAGGCCCAAACCCGACACCTCAGTCAATGAACTATACTGCTGTGATCAATATGGCGGTTTGGGGGGGCGCGATGCTGTATTATTTTGTTGATGCGAGGAAGTGGTTCACTGGACCAAAGATCACGATTGATGTTGAGGGGCTCACGGAAGAACAGCAAGCGGCGCTAGCAGCGGAGGGGCTGGATTTGGGGCTCGGAGAGGGGATTGCGCCTGGTGGGGGGTTGACTGAGCGAGGGGTTGAGGGGGTGAGTGAGAAAGTTGGGGAGAAAGGGGATATGGACTCGTGCTGAAGAGGAGGTTTGCGGGCATGCTTGAAATCCAGGATGAGTAGGATGTTTGGTTATGATAATAGCGTTTCGATTTCTCAAATCTATAAATCTACAAGGCTCTGGAATCGCTATAACCTGGCTTCATTTATTGTCCGCAATGCAGCCCATACAGTCCCTTTTTGGCGACCCCTCGCTTACCGTTATTTATACCCCCAATACTTTGAAAATTCAACCCTTTCCTATGGTTCAAAATTGATATAGTTTATCACAGCATGGTCTGGGTGGATTTAGAATGATGTTGTCTGACCGTCATAATGTCGAAGTCGATCCGCGGTTGGAATTCTTTAAATGTTATGAGATACCTAAAATGACTCAACTTAGAATAAGACAGTTAGTGCGCCCCTTCTGTCCACCGCGATCTAGTATTACAGCTATAATCTGCGCCGAAGCTGTACCTCTCCAAAGCCCGCTTCCGTCTTTGGACCTGAGTAATCATTACTCTAACTTGAGCTGGTCCTGAGTCCTGGGCACGCTAATAAGTCAGTTAGATTATGTTTAAGTAAAGAGTAATACAAGAACTATAGCTAATATATAATGCCCTTATAAAGTACTTTCAATTCTCATAATCTGGCTCTCGAATAATAAACGTTTATTAGTAAGCAATATATAACTCAGTTACACATTCGAACAATAGTGTGCAACCTGATTATTTAAGGTTACAGACTCCAAGAAAAACCCACAAATTCTCCCCCTCATCGCAGAACAATCAATCTTCAGTACAGTGACCAAAACCCCCCTATAGCGCCATGTGTTAAATATCAGGAGCGTAACCAATTGAGATATCACAAACGGAAAGGAGATCCGTAAATGAACAAAGGCTACAAGAGCCAGACGCACTGCTTCCTCTCCGGCCACTTCTGCACAGCCTCACCGTCCATGACGCCCTGCAAGTAGCAGTCGCCCACGAGGAGGAACGAGTTGGACCCATCCGCTCTAGTAAACCCTGCAGCAGCCACAGCGTCTCGCCGCCGGAGCACGAACGGGACAAAGCTACCCTTTAGGACAAACACTTCGTCGCCGGGCTGAGCATTCGGAGACCCCACACCCATATACCCGCTCTCCGTCATGTAGAAGCGGCGTTCGTCGCAGGTGTTCGGGATGGTCAGCGTGAAGCCAAACGACGGGTCCGTGGCCGGGTCGCCGTGGTCGCACCGGTTGGGCTGGACGGCTTTGATGCGGGCCAGCCAGCGCGAAAACAGCCCCCAATCCTCGGGGCCGGACCGCCTGGTCTCAAACTCCAGTGGATCTGGATCTGAGGTCCAGCACAATAGGCTCGATATGGAGCCCTTGACGAGGCTCCATACTCCGCTCCAAAAGGACCTTGAAAGCCAACTCGCCGCGAGCTGCCGGTGCTGAATGACTAAATTGTTCGTCGCGATCAATTCGCCCGTCACTGTTCGAATGAAGGCCTCTTCCCTTGTCCCTCCAGTAACGTACGGCTCGTCCGCCACCCCATGAGTAACCATCAAATCGTGCCACGACTGGATCATGGCACCAGTCCTGCCCCAGCCGTTATGCATCGTCAACTGCTCCCCCACGACAGCAATCCTATCCACCCGGATTCCAGACACTGACATTACCCGATTATCATGCACCCGGGCATTTGTATACCAGTTCCACGCACGGTAAAACTCATAGAGGCTACTCCGTGCCTCGACATCACCAACCGTCTCAAACGCAGCGAGGTCAGGGACCCAGGATGGAAAATCGGGCCGTCCGCTGGTGATGTCGACGAGCATGTGCAGCGCGTACAGGCTGTCGATGCAGTTTTTGACCAGCCGGGCATACACTTCGATGGTAGGGCTTGTATAGTCGGGTTGGATGTCGCAGTCGGCGTACGAGTCGGAGGGCAGCAGCCCCAGCAGCCCGTAGACCTTGTCGCGGTCGTCCGTCGCCGCGCGGCAGCGGAACATCTCCACTGCGCGCTCGATGCCGAGCTGCTTCTGCGCCCGGAGCGTGCGCGCCAAGAAAATCCCCTGCATGATGCTCGCAAAGCGAACGAAGGGGCGCTGTTCTGCGGAGAGTTGTCAGTAACGTAGCAAACCCCTTCCTCTTCTCTTTTAGAGCTATGCCTCAGGCGCGCTAAGCAATAGGGGGGAGGGGGGGAGGAGGAGCAGTACGTGCTTACGATCCTGGGGAATAGAACCAAACGACAATCTACAGCAAGACTGGCAGTGCTGCACCCAGTTCCTCGCCGCATCGCCCAGGACAATCCACGGCACGACTTGCGACCCGATGACGACGAGGACATCACGCGGCAGCACCGTCTCCTGTACGACCCAGATGCGGTTCCACCACCGCCGTTTGAGCAGCAGCTTCATCCCATCCGACACGGCCTTTGCCAGCTCCCAGTCCTCCGATGCCTCACCCCAACGGATATATGGCACCTGGCCCGCATGCTTCCCTCCCGCCACATCCCTCAGCATATCGAGCGCAGCACAAATTCGCTCCCAATCGGACATCTCACCACCCTCAAGGACCTTCCCCACAAGGACTGCATCATTCTTCCGCCGCCGAGAGACCCTCGCACGGTTGCGCGGATCCGCCTCAGCCTGCTCCACCGTCATCCCACCGGCGCCGAGCTCAGAGTCAAACTCGGGGCTCTCTACCTCGTCCCCAAGCCATACCACCACCCTCTGCGCCGCTTCGTAGATAAGGCCCATGTGCCCTACTTGCACCGCCTTCTCGGCGTCATCGGACTGGCTGATGCACAACTGGTCGATCCAGACGGTCCTCTCGCGGTCTGCACAGCGGAGTCGCCGCAGCGCCGTGTGCAAGCCGGTGGTCACACTGAAGGCGCGGCCGTCGAGCTGTATCGTGGTTGTGATTTCGGGGGGTCCCCATGCATAACTTAGGGCTTCGAAGGGGGCTGATGGGGATGGGGATGGGGATGGGGATGGGGATAAGGGGTGGGTGCTTAGCGTGCATTCTATGGTGTCTGTGTAGTTGCCGGGGAGGATGTGGGCGAGGCGAAAGCAGTTCCCTTCGGAGAGCTGAGTATATTTGTAGGTGGTGAAATTAGCCGTAGAGGTTCGTTTGAGTTGCTCCATTTCAGTGAGGACATTGATTTGTTATTACCCCTGAATTACAACAGCGTTGACGGGTTCAGTCGTGCCCACGTCTCGCGGCTCGCTGTAAGTTGGGCGAGCTGAAGCGCTTCCCCGAGACCTAGAGAGAGTATGTCAGCTCTTTGTAGTACTCCACTTCATTATTCACGAGGAGCTGACTGATATTGTATGTATCTCCAAGGTGAACTTTTTCGCCTTCGTTGGCTTGAATGTGCTGGTATGGACGGCCGGGCAAGATTTGTCTGTGTGGGTTGCTGGCTGGAATTGGCGTATGGATCCTACTGCTCGGATGAATCGAATGGATCGTCGGAAAGGTCAGGGCTGTTCATCGGACAACAGCGTTCCGGAGCCGGAGGGGTCCTGCGACAGGAAGATTGCTGGCAGCCGCCGATGCCGTAGACTGGCTGTCCAATCCTGTGTCATCATGCGTACTGTAGGTTGATAGACCGTCACCTTGCAAATCAGAATTTGGCGATGAAGGCACGCTGGCAGCGTGCGGTAGACCGTCCAAGCCTATCTCATCATAAGTAGGTCGTTAGAAACGTCATCTTCACAAGCCATGACTTGCCAATGAACCTAGGCCCTCAATCGATAGTGTTACAATAATATTAGGGGGATAAATAGCCCGAGTCGACGGTATCACGGCAATAGTTAAGGGGAGTAGAACTTGCAACTCAGAGCTAGACTCTGGAATGTTCTATACGGCCGATTCTTGTCCTTAGGCAGAAGTTCATATCTCTCACGTGACACAATAGAGCCCGATATTTGCCGGTTTCTGTAACGTGTGAGAATTAGGCTCGCATCACAGTTCACTGGACCAAAAGACCACAGTATTCACCGCACGGTGAATACGCCTAATTACGGTTAAATGGCTGGATCATAGTCACGTGACCGCCACACGTGACAGTTTCAACAAATCCTGAGGCAGAAATCTAGCCTATATTTCACATGCATTACCTCAGAGCAAGAAAAGGAGGTATTATTCGTACTTATATAATATTAATGGGCCTTTTTGGCCTTATATTAATAAACCCTTATAAGACTTAATTAAATATATAACATTTATTAAGACTTTATAATTAGAAACCTTAAGGTTATAAATTAATTTCTTATAAGCAAGTTTAGTTCTATTTTTATAATAAGAAGTTATAATATTAAGACTGCTTTACTAAAATTAAAACCTGGTAGCCTTATAAAAGCTCCGGAACTAGTTTTAATTTTGCTTTAATCTCCATTCGAGATTAAGAGATTATATAACTTTCTCTCTCTTTATATATTTCATAACGGTATAACTCGAGGAAGTAATAAAACCCCTTACTAATCCCAAATTCATAGACCGCACGGCAGACACGCTACACTTCTAAAAAGGTACTCTCATGTGCCTGCTCCAGTCGATCTTTCCACAATCTCGTTCAGCGGGCCCTTATTCCCATGCTCATCCCTTTGGGCCACCGGACTACTGACTGGTGGGGATTGAGCCCAACTATCACTTTTCCAATCCGGCAAATTTCTAAACACTTCGGCAATTTCTTCGGGCGTTGGATCTTGAGGCTCGTATGGACAACTCCCTTTAGATTTTTTCCCCATACAAAAACAATATTTCCATTTGCAGTGGCCTTTCTCGGCCTATGATAAACTAAGAACTTAGATAATAGGGAAGGGAAGGATGTCAAACCCCTACACAGCGGAATAATCCTTCTTCTCTGTCATATATCTGGCCCCCACATTCATTGCAGTCGAGATCTTCTTGTTCGGGGCATTCTGAGGTGTCCTGTAGCTTGGCGTCTGCAGTTTTAGTGTTTTCGGTATCTGGGACTTGGTTCTTCTCGATGGGAGGCAATGATTTTGTAGTGTTCTCTGTAGCAAAGGTGGCTAGAGATGGGCCTGTTAGGGTCACCAGAAGCTGAGCTAACATGAACGACTGGGGATGTTTGTTTTCGGCATTACTTATGTGATAGCTTAATAGAGATACAGAAGTAAGACCTTTTTATGCATTAGTATAGGGTAAAAAAGCAAGGAGGCGGTAAAGATATATTAGATAAAGTATAGAGGCTAGGTAGAATAAAGTTTATTATAAGATAGGGAAAAACTAAAACGACTCCCCCCCCCCCTAACAGGTATTAATTAGGGATATTAATGACCTGTAATTGGTTATCTAAACTCTTTATAAATCTTAAGTTAGATTTTTTAATATAAGTATAAGCTAGTATATTATTTCTTTATCTGGCGAGATATAGTTTATATTAATAAAAGAGCCTAGCTTAGACTATTATAGGTATAGTATTTAGGGCTTGAAAAGCAAGATAGAAGGTCTCTTATAAAAACGATTTAAAGCTAAAGAAGAAAAAACTAGAATATAAGAGGCTATAAAGAAGTATATATATCCTATAATATATTAGTTCCAAAAGAGCTTAGCCTTCTAAATATCTCTAGTATATTTCAAGTATACTTTTCTAGTAAAGTAGCTATATTATATATATCTAGAAGATATTTAATATCTGGCCAGATATCTCAGATACTAGATATCTGGAAGTTATAATATTACTTCTCTTTTTAGAATAAGCTTATTCCCGAGCTTTATAAAAGCTATTAATTTATCTAATTTCGTACTATTCTTCTTTCTAAAATAAACTAGTATTTCGGATATAGATATTATATATAAAAGGCAAATATCTTTAATATATAACTTAGAAGAATTTATTATTATTTCTATATAGTTCTAAATAAGTATTATTTTTTATATAGTCTAGCTAGTATTATAGGTTTTATAAAGGTTCTAATATATTAATATTATTATTATAAAAACTTTATAAAACCAGAAAACTATTATTTAATATTAAAGCTAGATATTATACTAGATTCTTATTCTAACTAATTTATTAGATTTTATATTTTAGTTTATTTCTTATTAGCTTAACTATAATAACCCGTTTAATATTATATTTTTATTTACTATTTTCTAATACTAATAGAGGCGGTTTTAGATTTACTTAATTTAATAAAGAATTCTAGAAGTTCTTTTATAGCTTCTCTATATAAAAAACTAGATATATTTTTATAATTTCCGGTAGCTTTAAAAGAAATAAATAGCTATATTATTCTAGAATCTCAAATAGGTTCTTTATTTAATTCTTTAGCTTTTAGTTCAGATAATTAGATTTCTAGTATTTTATAGTAACTTATATTTTATTTCTGACTTTAAAATTAATTAAACGGTAGTATTTATTAGCTTATATTATATATTATTTCTATATTTACTCTATATAACCTTAAATAAATTACTATAATTTATATAATTAATTTACTAATATTTTAGTTTTATTTCTATTTAGTTTCTTTTTAGATAAGCTAGCTTTAATAAAAAAGTTCTAATTTAGAGAAATATAAGGCTTATAGCTCTTTTTAGTTATAAATAGAAACTAGCTAATAGTTTTATACTAAAAAAAGACTTATTAATAATTAATTATAATAACTTATTTATTTTAGTTATTCTAGTAATAATTAATATATAATTATAATTACTAATTAAAATACTAATTAATAATTTCTATTTATTTATTTATTTAAAAGTAATTAGCTATTAAGAGCTTAAGCTTTATACTAATTCTTATATAGAATTCGCTTTAAAAATCAAATATAAATTAAAATTCTTAATCTAATATAATTATTTCTAGAATATTTATTTAATATATTATATAAAATAAAAATAAAAATATTAGCTATTTAGCTATAATTATATTTTATATAGAAATTATAATTAGATATTTAAATAAATAATTCACGAATATAATAATTATATTATAGCCCGATTTGCTTTCTAAATAGCTTTTAAAGTTTATAGTAATATATTATTAAAAGTAATTAGAAACTAAAAGGAAATAAAGGAAATTAAACTTCTTATTTCTAGATTATAAGGCATATAATAGCAGAGTAATATATAAGTAGTTAAGATAAGTAAGCTATAAAGTAATATTTATAAGTATAACTAATTCCAAGAATTAATTCTAATAAAAGACTAATTAATATCTTTTTCTAAAGCTAGAAGTATCTTCCTATATATTCCCTAGTATTTAGCCAGATATATAAAGCCCTTTACTTAATTAGGAAATCTTATATAATTTATATAATTCTAATTATAAGCTATATCTAAAATAGAAAACTAGATCTATAATATCTAATACCTATTTATATACTATTATATATATCTATTATATTAATTCTTTCTCTAGGCCCTTATTTCTAAGAGGCCTAAGAAAACTATAAATAGCTTTATAAATATTTCCCTAAAACTTTCCTGGCTACTAGCTTTCCCTAAAACTTTCCTAGCTATTAGCTTTCCCTAAAGATTTCCTATAATTACCCTATTATTATACTAGGTAATAAGGTTAAGAATATAGTTTACTAATCTTATCTAGCTAGCTTGTAAATTACCTCTAGTAATTTCCTCTTATAAAGATAATATAAATATAGTATATATTATTAGATATAAAGCTTATCTAATTTTCTAATTAGTTTATAAATCCTAACTTAGCCTCTATTTATAAATAAATTATTACTTTATAGGCCTAAGAGCTTAGAAAAGTTAATTTAATCTTCTAGTTTATTTATAAATTTCTTTTTTGGAATTTTCTGGGTATTTCTAATATAGAGCCGGTTCCGAATTTATAATTACTATTCGGGAAAAAGATATTATAAAAAGGCTTTCTTTTTTCTACTAATTAATCTTCTTTTTCTTTAACTATAATACTATATCTAGCTTTTTCTTATTTCTTACTTTTCTTTTCCAAGCCTTTTTTAAGCCTTTTTTAAGCTTCCTTTAAGCTTTTTTTTAAGCTTCTTTCTAATTTCTTTTTCTATTTCTTTATTTATTAAGATAAATCTTTCTCTTAGTACTTATTAGCCTATTACTAACTATTTGGCTAATACTTCTATATCTTTAATTTACTTTTATTATCTTTAATATTTCAAGAATATTACTAAGTTTCCCGACCTTACTTATATTAAGAGTAATAATTACTCGATATATAATTACTACTATTTCAAGAATAAGAAATATAATTCTATAAGTTATAACTTTCTTCTTTTATTTTCTATTCTAATATTATCTAAAATTCCTTAAGTATATATAATATAATTAAACTGCCTTCTCTAAGCTATTAATATATATAAGTATCTTAC